GTGTGTGTGTGTGTGTGTGTGTGTGTGTGTGTGTGTGTGTGTGTGTGAGAGAGAGAGAGAGAGAGAGAGAGAGAGAAAAGAGAAGAGAAAGAAGGAGAGACAGAGAGACAGAGAGAGGAAGGGAAAGACAGAGAGACAGAGAGACAGAGGAGACAGTATGTGTACGTGTGTGTGTGTGAGAGAGAGAGAGAAAAGAGAAGAGAAAGAAGGAGAGACAGAGGGAGAGAGACAGAGAGAGAGAGAGGAAGGAAAAGACAGAGAGAGACAGAGAGACAGAGGAGACGGTATGTGTACGTGTGTGTGTGTGTGTGTGTGTGTGAGAGAGAGAGAGAGAGAGAAAAGAGAAGAGAAAGATGGAGAGACAGAGGGAGAGAGACAGAGAGAGAGGAAAGAAAAGACAGAGAGAGACAGAGGAGACAGTATGTGTATGTGTGCGAATGTGAGTGTATGTGTATGTGTGAGAGACAGAGAAAAGGAAGAGAAAGGAGAGACAGAGGGAGAGAGACAGAGAGAGAGACAGAGACACAGAGAGAGAGAGAGACAGAGACAGACAGAGAGAGGAGACAGTATGTGTGTGTGAAAGAGAGATAGAGACAGAGATGGACAGAGACAGAAACGCACAGAGAGACAGAGACAGAGAGAATGAACCTGCCGGCAGGAGCGCCCCACACCGTGCGATGCCAGCGGGACATCCCAGCCTGTCCTAAGGAAGGAGAACATGGGTGGGGGGGGATCCCAGACTGTCCGAGTTGGTTCACTTGATTTTACTAAACTTTTTTTCTTCCTCATTCGAAGGGCGATTCTCTGGAAGGGATACACTGGGAAATGCCCGTGATAACCGAAACAACAGATGAAAAAGCTGAATTTTTGAAATGAAAAAGTGGGAGGTGATATGCTGGGTAGAGAGCCTGCTGCTGAAGCCAGGGTGATCTGGGTTCAAGGTCTGCCATGACACGCAGTACCTGTGTGACCCTGGTCAAGTCACTGCATCTCTTGGCAGCCCAGACTGCCGGCCTCAGTCTCCAGAAAGGGAATTCCCCACCCTGATGACATCGCCAGTCTGGGCTGCTCCACCCTGGCTCCCCAGTCACCCCCCAAACAAGGTCACCCCTATCTGGAAGGGTTTTAGAGATCATTAGTCCAACTCCATTGTTTCACAAATCAAGAAATGACCTGTCCAAGGTCACACATGTGACTGAATCTTTCTCCTTCCGCACTCCCCCAGAGCCAATCAGCTACCCAGAAGCACGGCTGAACTGGAACCCAGACCCTCTGACACCAGGCCCTTGGTCTATTCTGTTGCCCCTCCCCCTAGACTGGGGTGGGCGGGGACATAGAAAAGGGAATTCAGCTGAAAAGGCGCTGAGGCCTCCTGGAGAGGCGGTCAGTCCTCTCCGGATCTGACTCCAAAGAAGGCTGGAGCCCCGAGATATGGACTAGGAGGGGGAGGAGGGAAGGAAGGAAGTCAACTAATCCAAGCACCTCATTTTACAGATAAGGAAACTGAGGCCCAGAGAATTTGAGCAATTTCCCAAAGGTCATAAAGTCGGTTTGTAGCAGGGGCAGGATTTAAACCCTAACTGACTCTGACTCAAAAATCTCTGGCTTTTTAGCATTTCACTATTTACAAAAGACCGAGTTCTCTGTTGGGCATTTATAGCCCCCTTTACAAACCTGTTCTATCCAAGTCCCCTTCCCTCACCGCACAGTCCAGCCAAAATGGACCTCTTCCTGGTCCTCACATGTGACACGCCATCTCCCATCTCCATGTCTTTGCTCAGGCTGTCCCTCATGACTGGCATGCCGTCCCTCCTCACCTCTGCCCTCTTGAAGGGCCAACTCTTACAGGAGGCCTCTCCCAACGCCCCTCCCCCCAAAGCCAAGGCTTTGCGTTTTGTAGGGGCTGGTTACTATTTGTGTTGTTCCTCTGCACAGAATGTAAGCTCAGGAGGGCAGGAACTGCCTCATTCTGGGGCTCGGCACCAGTCAGGCAGGTGATAAAGGCCCGATGAACCGGTCTGAATAATAACCATCATTCTCCGTGCTGGTGAGCAGCCGAGGGAGAAGTCACAGACAGACAGACATCTGTAAGATACGACATTTCGGCCTCCCGGGGGAAAGCAGGCAGAGGCTGAGGGACTCGGGCCAGTTGCGGGTGGCCAGCTGAGGCCCTGGTGGGAAACACCGGATGCTGACGGCCTGCCACGTCCGGAACACAGCTGGCAGGGAAGGGGACCTGAGCAGCCCCTGCCTCGGGAGGTCCACGGGGCTGTGTCTGCCTCTGACGGGTGCCGCTGCAGGCCATGCCAGCCTCAGTTCCAGGCCGGTCCCTGACCCTGCTCTCCCCTCCCCCGCCTTCCCGCCTATCCGCTCTCGTTACCTCACACTTGCCACGCAGGCCCGTCTCCTGCAGCCGGGACCAGATGCTCTGGATGCGGCCAGCGTGCTCGGGGTGGCTGTTAGTGTTTCCACAGGTACACTGGTGTTTCAGCATCAAGGTGTCGTACACAAGGCCTGAGGTGGGGGTCACAGTCAGTGAGGCTGCTGAGAAACAAGTCCCCGCGGGCACCAGCCCCCAACCCAGCCCACCCAGCGTCCCTCTGCCCCGTTTCATTTGAGTGGTTTGTCTGTCGGGATCCCCAGACACAGCTCGAGGGGTTTAATCTGTATTGAATCAAATTTAGGTAGAGGGAGAGAAGGAAGGAGAAAAGGGAGGAAAGAAGGAAGGAAA